GCGCAGTGAACTTTGTACTTACGTGAGGTTCTGTCTCGCCCACATCTGGTGAAGGGCTATATCATCCTGCTTCTGGCTGGCCTTCTCTTCTAGCAGGATTTTCCCGGCCGGAGCGCTCTCAGGCTCCTGGGGAGCTCGAGTCGTTGCCAGAGTCTGCAAGTATCCGTCGTCCGAGAATGAGGTCAACGATGGCTCGACAGCAGAGTGACAGAACGTGGCGAGATTTGCGTCGGCGATGGTTGATATCAAAAGAAAGATCATGAAGCCGCGAAGCTTCGCCATGGTTGCTAGATGGATCGCATATCCTCTAGTGCCCTCAACAAACTGAGTGAAGGAAAGACGTTTGAGAAAAGGAGGGAAAGAAGGGGAAATGAGAGAAAGAGTAGATGGTATTGAAGGGCAAAAGGCCAACGAAAGTAGAAAGTGAGCAGCCTTGAAGAATTGAGAGAAATACACAAAGCAGACGTGGAAGTGGGAAGGAAGTAAGGTCAGTAAGGTCCCTGGACAAAGGCAAGTGAATGCGGCAAGATGCAGGGTAGGCCTTCCTTCCTAATGCCATTGGCCGTTGAAAGAGAGGAAAGAGAACCTTGGAAGTAGTTACATGAGGAGAAAGCTGGACCGGAGGCTCACTGCGAGTACCCTCGTGTAACTTCATGCACTACGGGGAAACATTACGATTGGCCTCTTCTGCCGTCCTTGGTGATGTCGTGAGACAATAAGTAACATGGGGAACTGAGGACTCGGGCCTTCTATCTTCAACCTGGTCGCTGGGTTTCGATGGAAGAGGGCTTTGTGTCTGACCTTGACAGAACACTCTAGGATATTGCGATACTTTCAGAGCAAACCATACACTCATCTCTAGGTGAGAGCCCCAAGGACTAGAGGCGTTGCCGGAATATTCTGTGGCATGAGTTGAGGTTTGAAGCTAGGCTTGACACCAAGCAAAGCAATGAGTAAGGTAGGAAGGCAATTCATCTTGGGTGAGAGACCAGTTGTAACACTTCTGATGCGTTTGGTTCGTCCATCCCGAAGATAAAAGCAATCATGAGATAGATGGGAGATTCCCATACCACGCTCCAAGATCGGAATAAGATGAATTTGAGATCCAGTGTCCTTCACATCCGAGAGTCAACATCGCCGGGGGTGTTGCCTCGCCTATCATGGATGGGAAAGAATCTGGTAAGCTTTGAACTGTGGGATAATCAGCCTTGTCTGGCTTTGCAGCAACATATTAGTCACAGCGGCCTCAGAGTAGAGACATTGCAAGAAGAAAGCGGTTCAATTTGGTGTGACCAAGGGATTCAGAGTGTCCACAGAGCTTTGACCCCTGATGAAACAGATACCTGGCTTAGTAAGCACGAGATTCACTCCTAATGTTCAGCTCCTTGCCCCGCCATGTCAAATCGGCACCAATAAACCAAGAGCACAGGACGGCGACGAACAAGGTGCAAATGCAATGTCATGGACAATCGATTGAATGAGAGGCTGTCTAGACCTAGTTATCTGCTAGTCTACTAGGCGCGTTTATCTCCTCCTGATACAATGCCGATAACCCCCATATCAGTCCCACGCCCTATGTACTTTCGGAAAGATGACGTTCCTTCCAGGATACAAAGCCGGTGATGGCCGAGGACAGTCTTCGTTGTCTTCTGCAAACATTCGCACTGCCCAAGCGTGAAGAGATTTTCTCTCTAACTCCTAATGTCATCAGAAGAACGTAGCTTTCCCCGGTGACCACGGCACGACAAAGACTGTCCAAGAATCGACGGCTCAAGCATCATACTGGGCAAAGGCATCCACAATCCTCTGTGGCCAGCTGTGTCTCGGAATCGTCTGAAAGTGGTTATAGAGCAGCTTGCGCACAAGACCATTGCCCATCTCTCGGTACTCCGAGTCCGAAGGCGACTCATGGTCCTGGGCGCCAGGCATTCTGACCCATCCTTCCTTCCGGTTTGAGGTCATGGTAATCTTCTCCATGGCATAGAAATGCTGCTGGTGGGCTGTCGTCGTGTAGTTGCAGTCCAGCGCACGAGCAGCGAAGCGCATGCTCACCATGGCCGCCAACACATGCTCGTTAGCATTGGAGAATCGATCCGGGATCAGGTGCTTGGTGCGCTCGACAAAGAGCCTGTACCACGCGTAGTCCGAGTTGAACTGGCAGCCGAGCAGCGCGTCCTTGAGGCCTCGCTCCATGGAGAAGGGGGCGAAAGTGGCCTTTTGCCAGGAGACGATGCCGGCCAGCTGGAGTTCCTTCTCAGGCTTGCCGTCGGCGGGATCGCTGGCGGGCTGCTCAACGAGCTTGACGAGGATGTTGCGGGGCTCGAGGTCCATGTGGCAGAGGACGAGGGCCCTGCCGAGCTCCTGGATGTGTCTGCATGTGAGAAACTGGACGTCCATTGGATGATCCGCGCCGGGGAACCTGATGTTGAAGCTGCCGTCTTTGCGCTCTGTAAAGGTGGTGGCTGGGGAGTGGTGGCGGGCGGGACGGAATTCGCTGGCGTAGCGCTGGAGAAGGAGGCGGACGCGCTTCTGTAAGGTGGACTGCGGAGGCCAGGCGGGGATTTGGTCCAGGGGAATCGGCTCGGGGGTCTTGGGACCGTTGAGGACGACGGGGGCGGTGTAGTCGATGTTGCCGGACAGATCGACGGCCCTGAGCGCCTCTTCAATATCCTTCTCAGAGAAGCCATGTTCCTTCTGGAGGGTTTCAAGCGCAGTGACGAGCTGGCCCATGATGCGGTCCTGCGACTGAGGGGTGAGGGAGGACCAGACTTTGTCGAGGGTCACTGTGTTGGGGATGTGCTCTGTCACGATGTAATCGACATCGCCATCATCCGTCTCATAGACACCAACGCGGATGACGCGGGGGACCAGATCGGGGAGCCAAGAGCGAGCGATCTCTTGACAACGCCCTGCCGTGTAAAACGTGGAGACGTTTCCGACGGGGTTGGTGATGTTGACAAAGACGCCAGCGTTTATAGGGCTGGGGCCAAACTTGACGTCGAGGATGAGCTGCTTGGGGATGCCGGTCTTGGGAGGCTCGTCAAAGGTGAGCTTGTAGGCGCGGCGGGCGATGAAGGGCTCGCGAGGGTGAATGAGGTCGATGCTGGAGGGTTTGGCTCCCCACAAGACTTTAGGAACCATCTTGTCGACGAATTGACGGTATCCGACCTCGAGCTGTCTGATGTTGACGCCTCCTCTGTCGGCGAGAATGGAGAGCAGTTTGGGGTCAGTCGGGACGACCATCTTGGAGCTTTGGGGATGAGAGATGGTGAGAGCTGATGTTGGGATGGATGCCTTTTCTTGCTGTATCTGATGGTTTGAAGATGAGAAAATGAAGGTTTGATCAGGTTGTGGGCGAGAGTGAGGTACTCACGATTTGAAATCTCAAACACCCTGCAGTTGGAAGGTACCTGGAAGTAGGGCTGCTGAAGTCCACCTTGTGACTGGCAAGCTTGAGGATAAAAAAGTCAGGCCAAGACAGAAAAGATTGCGAGCCGCTTGATTATTTTGGAAGGAGGGGAAGTAAGTCCAAGGCTGAGGCGAGGCGGTCAAGTTGAAAAGAATGGCAGCAAACGGACGCCAGGATAAACAGAGGCGTATTCGGGTCCCAAGATGAAGGGAAGATGATGGGTATGGGCATCAGGAGTGTTCGTCGAGTGCTCGATCAGGCAGCAGGCAGAGCAAACGGAGCAAAGGTCCGCACATGAAGGAAGTTGGCGTGTATGCAGGAACCTGGGGCAACGGTCTATTGCATCTTTTGGACGATTCACTCGAAATTCACCCCGAGCCATTTACCTTCACTTAGTCCAGGTGGGAATTGCTCCTAGTGAAGCCTGGCTATCGACGCCGACTGGTGTTCTCATGATAGCAAGACTAGTACTCAAGCCTGCTCATGAAAGCTTAGTGGTTATGGATAGCAATTATCGAGCAATGTCATCATATATCAGCATGACAAAGCATAGCACACCGGCCGCTCTCTCTCAGAAGTAAGACAGGCAGTTGCTCCGATGGGAAAACATGCAAGCGGCACAGCTCATGATTATGAACATGCATCAGCGGAGCCCCCACCCACAGAACTGGATCGAGAGATTTTACGGAGACAGCCAAGGTTAATATTCTATTTCTTGCGAGGTGACGTTTGCCGTTGGCCAGAAGCCAAGACGACGTTCTACGACATGACTTGATATACTAGCTTGAACACGGGCAGGCGCCTGCAAGCGGTGTATGTGTTCTTGGAGCCATGGGGAACTTGGCATCCTTCAAACTAGAGGAATTGCTGCGTTTGCCTCCCCACAGCCGGCCAAAAGGTTCAGTAGAATGACGCATGGCTTGCTAGCATATGAGATTATTAATTGAAGCAAGGTACGAGAGTAAAGTAAAAAGCAACCAACGGGTGCAAAAGCAGTGTAAGGTAGCTTAGCAGCGGGCGTTGCCGGATAGAACCTCAGAGATCCATATCCGCATTGAGGAGAAAGCTAATCGTACTGTACACAGGGTGTAAACCCAGGATGCCACACCACGCGAGCCAACCGTGCCACCGTCGTCAAATGCTGACCAAAAAGATGTGGGCGCAAATGACAGTTACCCGTCCCGCTGTCATGCAATTGCACCGTTCACACATGGGCTGACATAGCAGGATCTGGCCATGGAAATGGCCCGATGCAACCTGGGCACATTGTTGGAAATAGAGCTGCTGCCATTGGTCAAAAAGATCTCTAGCCAATGGAAGGGTAGCTGATGACCTGGTGCAGGGATCACCCACCATGATGGGCAGGAACCGTGACGTCGGGACTCGGCCCCTCCGTCCCTGCATCGCAGATGCTTAAAAGGACCCCTCTGCGACTGCCTTTTTGGATGGTGTTCCATTCGATACAGATCAATTCAGACCAATTCAACCCAAGACAACTCTCACATCGCTCCCGACTTCTTCTACATTCAGAATCAGTTTCTACTTGCTATCCTACCCTCTACTAACCTCACCTTCCCACTTAACAATCACAATGACTGTCACCAAGGCTTCCACCTGCTGCGGCAAGAGCGCCGAGTGCGTCTGTGGTATGTACTTTTCATCCCCTGATCCCCCGATCCCTCAACTTCAACATCATCTCGACATCTCTCTCGTCCTTGAACACAATATCATCTTCAAACCATCCATAACCGACAATGACACTACCAAAACTTTACAAGCTAACCCGTCTTGCTCCTCAGCCCAGCAAGCTACCTGCTCCTGCGGCAAGCAGTCTGCCCTCCACTGCACCTGCAGCAAGGCCGCCTCCGAGAATGCTGTCGCCGGACCTCGCTGCTCGTGCAGAGCCCGCCCCGTTGGAGAATGCACTTGCGACCGTGCCGCCACAGAGAACACTAAGCCATCCGGCGAGACCTGCTCCTGCGGATCTCGTCCCGCAGGTATGTTCATTGATCTTCTCTTCTCTCTTTCGCATGATGGCTGACACCCTTCTTAGATGCCTGCACATGTGATAAGGCAGCCACAACCACGTATGACCGATCTGAGCACGAGATCGACTTCACCACCCGCCAGTAACTTAACTTCCCCTGCAAACCTATTCGTAGCATTAGGATCGGCGTTCAAGGGTCTCTGGGATTAGTGTTGCAGCCCGACGGCGATGGGTTCGACAACTGAGGACAAGGCGTTAATGGTTTATGATGGCACGGCTGCTTTGGAGCGCACAATGGGTACTGGACGATAGGATTGGCCAACAGTCAACATGAATACCACACAGATTCTCGACGTTTCTTACTGGATATCGGATCTTTTACGCCAGGAGCTCGTCTACTGCTGCCTCCTACTGGCATTGCTCGTCTATGACCCATCTATGACCGTATCACTCTCCCGTTTGGTATGGCGCTTCTATCGACCAGTCGTTATTCCGGTATACGACTTTTTGTTCGGACGGGTTGAGAGATGGCTGCGAGAAGTTTGGGGCCGCTGCAGATGTTGGCAGAAAGAGCACCAGGATCTTTGGACAGAGCGACTGAAGTTCTGGATGTGGTTGGCGAATCCGAAACGCGTCTAGAAGATGGTCATCATGTTCGCGGCGTTCTTCATGGCCAACTACTTCGGCAAGGGCTTCTCGAAGGTACTGAGCTTCTTCGTGACTGAGCCCAGGGTTGTGGAGCCACTCAAGTCATTGGGGCCCGGAAAGGTTAAGGAATCTGGAAGAAAAGAGAGGCTTGAAACAATAGAGGAGGTCGACGAGGAGGAGGGGTCTGACGAGGTAGAGGAGCCTCCTGCGCCGGCTCCAATTCAGCCTCAGCAAGGCGGTGGCGGAAACAGGGGGAAGAAACCAAAGAACAAGAAAAACAGGAGAAAAGGGAAACGCTGAGAGAGTTACTCCGACCAGACCAAGGATTGGCGGTGTCGATATGAAGTCCAGACGAGACTGACATTCATGCGACAGCGAATTGTGGATACAAGACACCAGCGATAACAAGTATACCATCCAGTAGCTAGCGATGAGAATCAACGTGGCATTCATTGGTAACAACCTTTCGAGTCAGACATGAGGAGGTGACTTGGTTTCGTTTTCAAAGGCGAACCAAGATGCCATGCTTGGAGCGTAGTATTATTAGGGCCACTGTGTGCATCGCCATTGTTGCTTCCAGACTTCAAAATTTCCTGAAACTTTTCGGGAAATGCTGTGGATGATCAAGGTGAGCACCATCTTGGATTCTGTGGACAATGGAGAGGACAGTATCGCATCGTAGGGAGGCAATCCTGGGAAATCGCCCTGGCAAGCGCGCTTCGTCGACTTACACACTGTCCGTCAAGACGCGGCTCTGTCTGAGCGGCTATAAGCAATTGGCTGGCTGGCGGGACCAACAGAGCATTGTGACGAGCTCAAACACTATAAAACAACAATATGGACCTCGGAAGCAAAACATAGAAGGCCGATTCTTTTGTCCAGCCGGGCACAATTTCGCGCCAAATTGCAAAGAAATGAAAGAAAGCCGAGTCGTCGTGGCGTGGGGATTCTGGGGGCATCGGCAGACGACGCGAGGTTTCCCCGACTCACCGGAAGGGAAGGACCCACCCTTGGATTTTTCGAATGATTTTTTTTTTGTTCTTGCCGGGCTCTTCCATTGCGATTGCCTTTTCTGCCGGAGAACTGCAAGAAAAAGGGCAGGTGTGACCGGGCGGTCAGAAGCTCTATCATCGATCGCAGCTTCCTATTGGAACATAACTGCACCCGGCCCCGGGAGCTCGGGCCATAGCTGCGCAAAAAAACGGCCCAGAAGGTCAGGTACCCATGGAAGGTACCCACCCGGGATCGCACTAGGTAAAAGGCAGTTGCGCCAAAGAACGAACCTACTACGTACTGGGCCCTGGAGCCGCCAGCAGCGCACCGCAGCTAAGCCCGCGCTGAGAGCCACAAAGCGCCACCCCTGCTTGGTCAGAATTCCAGAGCCCAAGAAAATAAAGCTGCACCTTCCGGTCGCGTCACTTCCGCCCTACCCTCGAAACAATTTCTTTCTTCCCCCCATACCCAGAATAATCCTCCTCTTCTGACTCTCTTCTTTTCAAGTTCTTCATCTCGATTGCATCAATTCGCATCACAAAGAATCGATTCTTCAATTGTTCTCTGCGAAACCTTCGATTTGACCAAAATCCCCATCCCATTACACGCGTTTTATCGCCAAGCACACATCATATCATCACCTGACGATCATGCCTCCCAAGGCTGCCCCCAAGAAGGCTGCTGAGCCCAAAGCAGCACCGAAGAAGACTGCCCTCGCCAAGAAGGGCAACGAGATCACCAAGAAGCCTGCCGCGAAAACCGCTGGAAAGAAGGAAGCTACTACCAATGGCGCGACTGCCGCCTCCAAGAAGCGCAAGCTCGCCGAGGAGGAATCAGAAGTCGAAGCGTCCGAGGCCGAGGAGCCCGAGAAGACCGAGAAGCCTGCCCCTAAGAAAAACACCAAGAAGGCAGCAGAGCCTGCTGTGAAGAAGACCAAGACCACCGCTGCCGCCCCCAAGAAGAAGGCCGCGGCTACCGAGGAGACCGAAGAGGAGCCCAAGGTCGCGAAGCCCGCAAAGAAGGTTGCCGCGAAGAAGGCCGAGCCCAAGAAGACTGCTGCCGCAAAGAAGACTGATGCCAAGCCCGCCGCTGATACCAAGAAGCGCAAGTCAAGCGAGGAGGCGACAGAAGACGAGAAGCCCAAGGCAAAGAAGTCAAAGACTGACACTGCTGAGGTCGACAGCCAGGCTACGGAATCGGCCAAGGCGACAGAGTCTGCGGATGAGGAGCCCGAGGCTGTCAAGCCTGCGAAGGCTACCAAGAAGGCCGCTGTCGCTGCCCCCAAGCCTCCCCCAGCCCACCCCCACAAGATTGGCAAGAAGATCAACTCTGCGCCGACCCAGATCCTCGATGTGTATGTATTCGGCGAGGGATCCTCTGGCGAGCTCGGTCTCGGCAGCAAGAAGCTTGACGGCAAGAAGGTTGTCGATGTCAAGCGCCCGAGATTGAACCCTAAGCTTGATGCCAAGGACGTCGGTGTTGTCCAGGTTGCCTGCGGTGGCATGCACGTCGTTGCTCTGACCAAGGACAACAAGATCCTCACATGGGGCGTCAACGACCAGGGCGCTCTTGGTCGCGACACCAACTGGGATGGAGGACTCCGCGACGCTGACGCCGAAGAGGAGGAAGACGACGAGGACGACTCCGGCATCAACCCCCACGAGAGCACGCCCACCGCCGTTGACGCGACGAACTTTGCTCCCGATGTCAAGTTCACTCAGGTCGTTGCCAGTGACAGTGCCACATTCGCCTTGACTGAGGATGGCAGGGTTTACGGATGGGGCACATTCAGAGTAAGCTATCTAACCGCAGCATGAGGTGATAAGTAGCTAACATTCTCCAGTCGAGTGACGGTATCCTCGGTTTCACCGACAAGATCCAGATCCAGAAGACTCCCGCCTACCTTCCCACATTGAAGAACATCACGGCCCTTGCTGCCGGTTCCAACCACATTCTCGCCCTTGACGACAAGGGTGTCGTTGTCGCCTGGGGTTGCGGCCAGCAGAACCAGCTTGGGCGCCGTATCATCGAGCGCAACAAGCTTTCCTCCCTTATCCCCCAGAGCATGGGTCTTCCCAAGAACAAGGTCGACCGCATTGCTTGCGGATCCTACCACAGCTTTGCTCTTGGCAAGGATGGTGCCGTCTGGGCCTGGGGTCTCAACAACTTTGCCGAGACTGGTATTGAGATGGGTGCTGGCGAGGATGACGCTGTTGTTCTGCGTCCTACCATTGTCGAGTCGCTCAAGAACTACAAGATCAAGCAGATTGCTGGTGGCGAGCACCACTCTCTTGCTTGCACCGAGGACGGCAAGCTCTTGATCTGGGGACGTCTGGATGGCCACCAGGTCGGTATTCCTGTCGAGGAGCTGGATGCGGAAAGCGTCATTAAGGATGAGAGCAACAACCCCCGCATTCTCTCTAAGCCTACTGCTGTTGAGGGTAAGTTCACCTGTCCATTCCTTACCGAGTATCGCTAACGTAAGTCACTAGATATCGCAAAGTGTGTATACGTTGCCGCTGGTGTCGACAACAACTTTGCCATCGACGGAAAGGGCGAGGCTCACTCGTGGGGCTTCTCTGCCAACTACCAGACTGGTCAGGGCACGACTGAGGATATCGAGACCCCGACCACCATTGACAACACCGCTGTCCGCGGTAAGAAGCTCGTCTTCGCTGGCGCCGGTGGCCAGTACTCTATCCTGGGAGGTGTTGCCGACGTTCCCAAGGTCAACGGCTTCGCGCCCCAACCAGCCACCGGTAGTTTCAGACCTGTTTTCTAAGTCTCTTAGAGAAAAGGTTGAACCTTGACAGCGCGGCGGCGAGTTCCAAATAACAGCAAGCGGATACGACTGGCTTCTACAAGAACACGGTTGATGAACGAGCAAGCGCCGCATTCACCAGAAATAAGAGGTGGACTCCATACATGAGCCGAGGCGGCATACCAATTCCAGTCGCGATGCTTTTTCCTTTGGTTCATTCTCAGCATGAGCCATTTTCACTCGCGGTACGATACATTCGTGCAACAATCTGATTTTGACGAGTTTCCGGTTTTTTCTCCAATGTCCCCTGAGCGGACTAATAGATTTTTTCTGGACGAGAGCGGCAGTGAGGCTTCGACTCGGCATGAACGGATGGGCAGGTATAGAAACGGCCTCGAAGGGGAGTCAAACTTATGATACCAACGAGGATTTTCTGCTCGACAAGGCCCCTCCTATTGTGTGCCTAGCGGAGGATCGCGACCGCCGCGGAGGCTGTTTGGCTATGGAGACTGACGATAGTCTCCTGTAATACTATGCTTGGTCTCGAGAAGTTATCAAGGTCTGATCCTCCCCTTTTCTTTACACTTGATGTGTATATTGCGAGAGGATCTTCTAGCCCAGCATTGTGCATTTTTATCTTTTTAGCAGCATGGAAAACGGAAGGGATAGGAGGCATTGGACTATCAAAATTTATTTCTGGCTTCGTCTGAACATGATTAAAAGTATTGTACAATGACGGGAAGC